CAGTCACCCTTGACCTTTCATAAGGCCATGAGCGCGCGTCAAAGTTCAAAATCCGCGCGTGCTGCTATGGGCAATATAATGCAAATTAGATCAAAAACATCCCATTTTAAAAATCAAGATACCTCTTCAGAAAGTCAATTGACCCCAACTTTTATATCATGGTTCAAAAAAGCATGAGTTGGAGATATGATTTCGTGTGTCATTTTACCCTCAATTAACTTATGACGTCATCATAATGGCCTCCGAACTCATAATTTTAATTTGCATATTATGACGTCAGCAGATTTTTGGAAAATTTATTGTATCTCTGTAAATATTGATCAATTTTCTTTCAAATTTTGATATGTTCTACCTGAGAATATTCTCTACAAATGCAGTTGTCACGATATTTCATTTTGACAATGGTATCATGGCGTATTTTCGCGATTAAAGGAGGCATGTCAATTTTTCACATTTTGCGTGTATTCTCTATGGGACATGACTTTTTCTCAAGACTGGATTCTACATTCTCGTCTTTCGCGAGCAATATCTCTGTCGTGTTATCTTTGTTTACGCTGAGCTTTAAGTATGTTGTAGCTGAGAAAATAAGCTATCACAAATGTGCCCTTCATTTTTCGATCAGATGCCGGGATCATGCTCATGTTTCACTTACAATGTGGGATTTGATAATTCCATTTTCCGTTTACGTGTAATCTCTATGGGAAATGTTTTGGTATATCGGTAACGCACTTGACTTCCGACCTCGAGGTTTTTTTTCTTCACTTTTTTTTCTTTTTGACCTTTCACTCTACCATCTCCTTTGAATTTAAAAACACGTACAATCGCAAATAATGTAATAAACAACCATATTTACTTTATTATTACCCTATTATCACTAGATCCATTACTTTTGGCGTGTAATCCTTATGGGAGATGACTTTTTCTCAAATCTGGATTCTACATTCTTGTCTTTTGCGAGCAATATCGCCGTTATTTCGGCTTGGTTTTTGTTGATTTTTTAGTATGTTGTAGCTGAGACTATACGCTATCTAAATGTTCTTTAAATTTTGTTCAGTCTGATGTCATCGTGGTCTGTTGATGATAATCATCAACATCATCATGATGATCATCATCATCATCATCGTCATCAACATTACTATCAAGATCATCATCATGATCATCATGATGATCATCATTTTTTACATGTCTATATAACTTCTCCCTTTCTCAATATTATATTGAGAAAGGGAGAAGTTATATTATATTGAGAAAGGGAGAAGTTATATAGACATGTAAACAATGATGATCATCATGATAATCATGATGATGATCTTGATAGTAATAGTAAATATTATAATCTCTCATAAGACTTGAAGACAGACCACCTAATTCGTCCCCATGACGATTTAAATTTCTAGTTTTTCTTATTTCTAACCACTTTTTTGTGGACAAGATAACTTGGAAATGGCTGAAACAAATGCCTTGAAATTTGGCACACATATGTATAGGCATATGTACAAAGCAAAATAACTTTTTCGACATTGACCTGAACTGATGACGTCATCTAGGCGCCATTTTGTAAAATTTTACGAAAATCAATTCATGATCATATCTTCATAACCAAAACCTATTTACCATTCATATTTATCATAATAAAGGTTAATATCCGTCCGGTCAATTTCAGGTCAAAGAACGCGCGCGTGCGCGTACGTCCGCGCGTCAATGCGCGCGCAAAATTTGAAAAGGCTCAAAATCGTCTCAAAATCATTTTGCATACGTTTTAGGCCATTCTAAGCATTTTATAAAAATTCGCGCACACGCGCCTGCGCGCGCGTTTTCGCGCGTACAACTATTACACAACAATTTGCATATTATGATGTCAGCATATTTATGTAAACTTGATTGTATCTCTGTAAATATTGATCGATTTTCTTCAAAATTTTGATATGTTCTAGCTGAAACAATTTTCTACAATTTTTTTTTTTTTTTCATTTTGACAAAGGCATCATGGCGTATTTTTGCGATTAAAGGAGGCATGTCAATTTTTTCACATTTGACGTGTATTCTCTATGGAACATGACTTTTTCTACAAACTTGATTCTACATTCCCGTCTTTCGCGAGCAATATCTACGTCGTTTTAGCTTCATTTACACTGACCTTCGAGTATGTTGTAGCTGAGACAAAAAGCTATCGCAAATGTACCCTTCATTTTGTCTCAATTTTTTGTTGGATCGGCCCACCTATACTTGTTCCAAACAAGTATTACAAATCTAGTTATAACTGTTTTCCTATCTATTAGTCAAACAACTCAATGGTAATTTACGGAAACCTTGGATTACGCAAATAATATTGAATTCAGTGAAACGTTAACATAGATTATATGAAAATAGCTTAAAAAGGCCTAGTGTCAATCATGAAAGAAAATATTTAGATTATAAAAATAAATTAACAAATATCATAAGAGCGTCAAAGTGGAAATATTACGAGTCTTTGTTTTATAACTTAAAGAATGATATGAAAAAACATAGTCGCAGATCAATATAATACTTGGTAAAAGGAAACAGAATAAACTACCTGTAATGTGTTATGCGCTATAAAAGAACTGAGTATTATTATTATTATTATTACCTCAAAATATGTATCACGGAAATATAAAATTGAGTAGTAGGAAAGATATTGCAAAAGAGTTTAATACATTTTTTATTGACATAGGTAAAAAAAAACTATCAAAATCGATTCAAACACCTAATTACTCTCATGATAAATACCTTGTTAACCCAAATTTAAATTCATTTTATGTTAAATCAACAAGTATTCATGAAATTATCAAATTGTCTTCTCTGTTAAAAATAGAAAAGTCAAGTGGACCTGACTGCATTTCACCTAAAGTTAATAAAAATTGTATTTATTATTTTGTTAATCCATTGTGTGACATATTTAATAAATCTTTGAATAGTGGAATCGTCCCAGATAAATTAAAAGTTGCCAAAACTGTACCCTTATACAAAACAAATGATGTTAAAAATATAGAAAATTATAGACCCATAGCCTTGCTTTCTCTAATGCATGAAAGGTTGTATGATTATTTACTAAAACATAATGTTCTTTTTTCAGAGCAGTTTGGTTTTCGTAAAAACTATAGCACTGATCTGAGTATTGTAAATTTTACTAAAAATATTCTACATGAAATTAATAATGGAATGTTTTGTTATGAATTTGTTATATACCTTGAATATACCTTGAAGTCCACACCTCGCCATCGTGGTGATGAAGATCCCGTAGAAAGTGTAGTGTGGCAAGGTTAAGGGGGTCTCATGGGACCCATTTAAAAACCCAGGTTGGATAGTTGTTGTTTGAAGCTTAGGAGTGTGGAGCTTATGGATCTATCTATGGCATTTGACACCATCGACCACCATATTTTACTTAAAAAACTGTACCATTACGGTATACGCGGTATATCTCATTAGTGGTTTTCTGATTATTTCTATAATAGAAAACAATATGTGGTGGTCGATGGTCTCGAATCTGATTATATGGATGTAAATACTGGAGTTCCGCAAGGATCGGTTCTCGGACCACTTTTATTTAATCAGCTCATCCAAATTACTTATGTTTTCATTATTTGCTGATGATACGGTTGTATATTATTCTCATTATAATGCAGCACACTTAATTTCTATTTTAAATGATAATTTAATACAATGGAATGATTGGTTTAAATGTAATAAATTATTTTTGAATTATGAAAAAACTAAATATGTAATTTTTCACACAAAGAAAAAGAAAGTTCCAAATGACACCAATCCCGTTAGAATAGCGAATGTAACTATTGAACGAGAACTAAGTGTTATTTTTGTAGGAACTAATATTGAAGAAACTCTAGATTTGAAATGTCATATTGATTATGTTCTAAAATTTCTATAAGTATTGGTGTCTTGTCTAGACTAAAGAATTTTCTCCCAAGAAACATATTAATGAATATTTACAATGCAACACTTCTTCCCCACTTAAATTATTGCAATATCATTTGGGGTAATACTTACAAAACGAAACTGTTCAAGATTTATATGTTACAGAAACGTGCAGCTCGGTTAATAACAAATAGTCTTTATATGTCTCCAAGTTTACCATTATATATTAAACTGAAAATTATTCCTGTATATGATTTGATCAAACTTAATACAAGTATATTTATGTTTAAATTTCATTAAAAAAACCTGTTACCATCTGTTTTTAATAATATGTTCCAAACAAATTATTCTATTCAGAATTACCCCACTCGTCAAAGTCTAAACATACATCACCCACTCTGTCGTTCAACTTCACTGTATAATTATTTATCATTTGTTGGGGTACGGGAATGGAATTCCTTGAATCATGACCTAAGATCCAGTTCTACAATTACCAGATTTAAATCAATGTATAAAAAAAAAGTATTTTTCAATCCATGGTTAAGTAAGTACTTCTCTTTCCCATCTTCTTTCTACTTTTATCTCTTCCTGTCCTATTTTTCGCTCCTTTCTATTCTTTCTCTGTAACCTTCTTTATGGATGTGTGTGTGTGTTAATGTACGGGCGCGTACTTGTATTATTCAAGTCTTTTACTTTTTATTGTTAATTTATAATTTGCATTATCTTGTTATTGTTTGTTTGCAGGGCCTCGATTACAAGCAGATTTCTGCTTCTTAGGGGTCCTAACCATTATGTTGTATATTGCACATTGTATTTTCATTGTAAATTGTTTTTTATACTGGTTGAATGAAATGAAATGAAATGAAATATATTACTCAACATGTCATACAGAACGCAGGAATTGCATTTAAAGTTTACTTTGCGGAATCAACCAAAATGCATTCAAAGTTTACTTTGCGGAATCAATCACCACAAGTTGCTCCACTCAGATTTCTCGATGAACTAATAATTATCACTATAATGATACTCAACATGACATATGGAACACATAAATCACATTAGAAGTTTTACTTTACAAAACTGACCAATATGACTTCTTTAACAATAACTCATTTAAACATACCGTCAAGCACTAGACAACGAACTCCAGCATCTTCATAATGGCCACAGTTATTGACTCCAAGTCCTAGATGCGAGCATTCAAAGAGACTCGATTCGTTTCGAAAGCAATTGACGTCATCGAGGACGATGGTTCCAGTGCCTGGGCCGAATCCAGCTGATGATACAGCTTCAAGAGCACCAGCAAAACCGAGAGATCGACAAACCACGATGGCATCGTTTGTATCCCAACCATCATCACAAACAGTTCCCCATTCTCCGTTGTAGCTCACCTCTACACGGCCTTCAGAATCCGAGGTGCCTCCCACAAGACGTACCTCACCATCTGTAACAAGAGGAATTTATTTATTCTTATTGACTTTTATTTTCTTTAAAAAAAATTATAATTCAGATAATCATTGCAACTTTCAATTGTTTTATCTGAATGATATATATTCCTAATCATCACTGTAATGAGCGTACGCGTTTATGAAAAGTCCAGAACTACTACATTTACATAAATTACTTCATTCAGATTCGTGATATAATAAGAAATATAACTATCATGATACTCAACATGTCATATAGAACGCAGGAATTACATTCAAAGTTTACTTTGCGGAATCATCCAAAATGACTTTATAACCAATAAGTCATCTAAACATACCTTCAGGCACAAGACAACGAACTCCAGCATCTTCTGAATGGCTACAGTTATTCACCCCAAGGCCTTGATTCGAGCATTCAGAGAGACTGGATTCAATTCCAGAGCAATTGACGTCATCAAGGACGATGGTTCCAGTGCCTTGGCCGAATCCAGCCGATGATACAGCTTCAAGAGCACCAGCAAAACCGAGAGATCGACAGACCACGATGGCATCGTTTGTATCCCAACCATCATCACAAACAGTTCCCCATTCTCCATTGTATCTGACCTCTACACGGCCTTCAGAATCCGAGGTGCCTCCCACAAGACGGACTTCACCATATGTAACAAGAGGAAATAATTTGTTCTTATTGACTTTTATTTCCTTTAAAAAAAAAATTATAATTAAGATAATCATTGCAACTTTCGATTGTTTTATCTGAATGATGTATATTCATAATCATTACTGTTACGAACGTATACGTTAGAGAAAACTCCAGAACTACCTCTTTTACTACAAATTACTCCACTCAGATTTCGTGATATACTAAAAAAAATTACTTTCATTATACTGAACATGTCATATAGAACGCATCAATTGCATTAAAAGTTTCACTTTACGAAACGGACCAAAATGATTTTTTTTTTTAACAATAACTCATTTTAACATACCTTCAAGCATTAGACAACGAACTCCAGCATCTTCTGAATGGCCACAGTTATTGACTCCAAGACCTCGATTCGAGCACTCAAAGATACTCGATTCGATTCCAAAGCAATTAACGTCATCAAGGACGATGGTTCCAGTGCCTTGGCCGAATCCAGCCGATGATAAAGCTTCAAGAGCACCAGCAAAACCGAGAGATCGACAGACCACGCTGGCATCGTTTGTATCCCAACCATCATCACAAACAGTTCCCCATTCTCCGTTGTAGCTCACCTCTACACGGCCTTCAGAATCCGAGGTGCCTCCCACAAGACGTACCTCACCATCTGTAACAAGAGGAAATCATTTGTTCTTATTGACTTTTATTTCCTTAAAAAAAAATTATAATTAAGATAATCATTGCAACTTTCGATTGTTTCATATGAATGATGTATTTTCATAATCATCACTGTTAAGAACGAACACGTTAATGAAAAGTCCAGAACTACCACTTTTACCATGAGTTACTCCATACAGATTTCGTGGAATACTAAGAAATATAACTACCATGTTACTCAACATGTCTTATAGAACGTAAGAATTACATTCAAAGTATACTTTGGGAAATCAACCAACTTGACTTCATTAACAAAAAATCATCTATGCATACCTTCAAGTACCGGACAACGAACTCCAGCATCTTCTGAATGGCCACAGTTATTGACTCCAAGACCTCGATGCGAGCATTCAAAGAGACTCGATTCTTCTCCAGAGCAATTGACGTCATCAAGGACGATGGTTCCAGTGCCTTGGCCGAATCCAGCCGATGATACAGCTTCAAGAGCACCAGCAAAACCGAGAGATCGACAGACCACGCTGGCATCGTTTGTATCCCAACCATCATCACAAACAGTTCCCCATTCTCCGTTGTAGCTCACCTCTACACGGCCTTCAGAATCCGAGGTGCCTCCCACAAGACGTACCTCACCATCTGTAACAAGAGGAAATTATTTGTTCTTATGACTTTTATTTCTCTCTTTTTTAAAATTATAATTCAGATAATCATTGTATCTTTCGATTGTTTTATATGAATGATGTATATTCATACACATCACTGTTAAAAACGTACACGTTTATAAAAAGTCCAGAACTACCTCTTTTACCACAAGTTACTCCACTCAAATTTAATGAAATACTAAGAAATATAACTACCATGATACTCAACATATCATATAGAACGCAGGAATTACATTCAAAATATACTTTGCGAAATCAACCAACTTGACTTTATTAACAATAACTCATCTAAATATACCTTCAATTACCGGACAACGAACTCCAGCATCTTCTGAATGGCCACAGTTATTGACTCCAAGTCCTCGATGCGAGCATTCAAAGAGACTCGATTCGTTTCCAGAGCAATTGACGTCATCAAGGACGATGGTTCCAGTGCCTTGGCCGAATCCAGCCGATAATACAGCTTCAAGAGCACCAGCAAAACCGAGTGATTGACAGACCACGCTGGCATCGTTTGTATCCCAACCATCATCACAAACAGTTCCCCATTCTCCGTTGTAGCTTACCTCTACACGGCCTTCAGAATCCGAGGTGCCTCCCACAAGACGTACCTCACCATCTGTAACAAGAGGAAATTATTTGTTCTTATTGACTTTTATTTCCATTTTTTAAAAATTATAACTCACATATCATTGCAACTTTCGATTGTTTTATCTGAATGATGTACATTCATAATCATCACTGTTAAGAACGTACACGTTTATAGAAAGTCCAGAACTACCACTTTTACCACAAGTTACCCCACTCAGATTTCGTGGAATACTAAGAAATATAACTATCATGATACTCAACATGTCATATAGAACGCATGAATTGCATTAAAAGTTTCACTTTACGAAACGGACCAAAATGACTTTTTTAACAATAACTCATTTTAACATACCTTCAAGCACTAGACAACGAACTCCAGCATCTTCTGAATGGCCACAGTTATTGACTCCAAGACCTCGATTCGAGCACTCAAAGATACTCGATTCGATTCCAAAGCAATTAACGTCATCAAAAACGATGGTTCCAGTGCCTTGGCCGAATGAAGCTGATGAGACTGCTTCCAGAGCACCACCAAAACCGAGTGATTGACAGACCACGCTGGCATCGTTTGTATCCCAACCATCATCACAAACAGTTCCCCATTCTCCGTTGTAGCTTACCTCTACACGGCCTTCAGAATCCGAGGTGCCTCCCACAAGACGTACCTCACCATCTGTAACAAGAGGAAATCATTTGTTCTTATTGACTTTAATTTCCTTTAAAAAAAAATTATAATTAAGATAATCATTGCAACTTTCGATTGTTTCCTATGAATGATGTATTTTCATAATCATCACTGTTAAGAACGAACACATTTATGAAAAATCCAGAACTACCACTTTTACCATGAGTTACTCCATACAGATTTCGTGGAATACTAAGAAATATAACTACCATGTTACTCAACATGTCATATAGAACGTAGGAATTACATTCAAAGTATACTTTGCGAAATCAACCAACTTGACTTTATTAACAATAACTCATCTACACATACCTTCAAGTACCGGACAACGAACTCCAGCATCTTCTGAATGGCCACAGTTATTGACTCCAAGGTCTCGATGCGAGCATTCAAAGAGACTCGATTCGTTTCCAGAGCAATTGACGTCATCAAGGACGATGGTTCCAGTGCCTTGGCCGAATCCAGCCGATGATACAGCTTCAAGAGCACCAGCAAAACCGAGAGATCGACAGACCACGCTGGCATCGTTTGTATCCCAACCATCATCACAAACAGTTCCCCATTCTCCGTTGTAGCTTACCTCTACACGGCCTTCAGAATCCGAGGTGCCTCCCACAAGACGTACCTCACCATCTGTAACAAGAGGAAATTACTTGTTCTTATTGACTTTTATTTCCTTTAAAAAAAAATTATAATTTAGATAATCATTGCAACTTTCGATTGTTTCATATGAATGATGTATTTTCATAATCATCACTGTTAAGAACGAATACGTTTATGAAAAGTCCAGAACTACCACTTTTACCATGAGTTACTTCATACAGATTTCGTGGAATACTTAGAAATATAGCTACCATGTTACTCAACATGTCATATAGAACGTAGGAATTACATTCAAAGTATACTTTGCGAAATCAACCAACTTGACTTTATTAACAATAACTCATCTATACATACCTTCAAGTACCGGACAACGAACTCCAGCATCTTCTGAATGGCCACAGTTATTGACTCCAAGACCTCGATGCGAGCATTCAAAAAGACTCGATTCGTTTCCAGAGCAATTGACGTCATCAAGGACGATGGTTCCAGTGCCTTGGCCGAATCCAGCCGATGATACAGCTTCAAGAGCACCAGCAAAACCGAGAGATCGACAGACCACGCTGGCATCGTTTGTATCCCAACCATCATCACAAACAGTTCCCCATTCTCCGTTGTAGCTCACCTCTACACGGCCTTCAGAATCTGAGGTGCCTCCTACAAGACGTACCTCACCATCTGTAACAAGAGGAAATGATTTGTTCTTATTAATTTTATTTCCTTTAAAAAAAAAATTATAATTAAGATAATCATTGCAACTCCATTGTTTCGTATGAATGATGTATTTTCATAATCATCACTGTTAAGAACGAACACGTTTATGAAAAGTCCAGAACTACCACTTTTACCATGAGTGACTTTATATAGATTTCGTGGAATACTAAGAAATATAACTACCATGTTACTCAACATGTCTTATAGAACGTAGGAATTACATTCAAAGTATACTTTTCGAAATCAACCAACTTGACTTTATTAACAATAACTCATCTATACATACCTTCAAGTACCGGACAACGAACTCCAGCATCTTCTGAATGGCCACAGTTATTGACTCCAAGACCTCGATGCGAGCATTCAAAGAGAATCGATTCGTTTCCAGAGCAATTGACGTCATCAAGGACGATGGTTCCAGTGCCTTGGCCGAATCCAGCCGATGACACAGCTTCAAGAGCACCAGCAAAACCGAGAGATCGACAGACCACGATGGCATCGTTTGTATCCCAACCATCATCACAAACAGTTCCCCATTCTCCGTTGTAGCTGACCTCTACACGGCCTTCAGAAACCGAGGTGCCTCCCACAAGACGTATTTCACCATCTGTAACAAGAGGAAATGATTTGTTTTTATTGACTTTTATTTCCTTGTTTTTAAATTTTAATTCAAATAATCACTGGAACTTTCGATTGTTTTATCTGAATGACATATATTCATAACCTTTATAGTTAATAACGTACATGTGTATGTCAAGTTTAGGACTACCATTTTCACCACAAGTTGCTCCACTCAGATTCTCGATGAAATAATAATTATCACTATCATGATACTCAACATGTCATATAGAACACAGAAATCACATCAAAAGTTTTACTTTACGAAACTGACCAATATGACTTTTTTAACAATAACTCATTTAAACATACCTTCAAGCACTTGACAACGAACTCCAGCATCTTCTGAATGGCCACAGGTATTGACTCCAAGACCTCGATTCGAGCACTCAAAGAGATTCGATTCTTTCCAGAGCAATTGACGTAATCAAGGACGATGGTTCCAGTGCCTTGGCCGAATCCAGCCCATGATACAGCTTCAAGAGCACCAGCAAAACCGAGAGATCGACAGACCACGCTGGCATCGTTTATATCCCAACCATCATCACAAACAGTTCCCCATTCTCTGTTGTAGCTGACCTCTACACGGCCTTCATAATCCGAGGTGCCTCCCACAAGACGTACCTCACCATCTGTAACAAGAGGGAATTACTTGTTCTTATTGACTTTTATTTCTTCTTTTTTAAAATTATAATTCAGATAATCATTGCAACTTTCAAGTGTTTTATCTGAATGATGTATATTCATAATCGTTACTGTAAATAACGTACATGTTTATGAAAAGTCCAGAACTACCACTTTTACCACAAGTTACTCCACTCAGATTTTGTGATATACTGGGAATATATAACTATCATGATACTCAATATGACATATAGAACGCAGGAATTACATTCAAAGTTTACTTTGCGGAATCAACCAAAATGACTTTATAAACAATGATTCATTTAAATATACCTCCAAGCACTAGACAACGAACTCCAGCATCTTCTGAATGGCCACAGTTATTGACTCCAAGACCTAGATTCGAGCATTCAAAGAGACTCGATTCTTCTCCAGAGCAATTGACGTCATCAAGGACGATGGTTCCAGTGCCTTGGCCGAATCCAGCTGATGATACAGCTTCAAGAGCACCAGCAAAACCGAGAGATCGACAGACCACGCTGGCGTCGTTTGTATCCCAACCATTATCACAAACAGTTCCCCATTCTCCGTTGTAGCTGACCTCCACACGGCCTTCAGAATCCGAGGTGCCTTCCACAAGACGTACTTCACCATGTAACAAGAGGAAATCATTTGTTCTTATTGACTTTTTTTCCTTTTTTACAAATTATAATTCAGATAATCATGGCTACTTTCGATTGTTTTGTCTGAATGATATATATTCATAATCATTACTGTTAAGAACGTCCACGTGTTTGTCAAGTCCAGAACTACCCCTTTTACCACAAGTTACTCCACTCATGATTTCTATTATGATACTCAACATGTCATATAAAATACGGGAATTACGTTCAAAGTTTTCTTTGCGGAATCGACCAAAATGACTTTATATACAAAAGTCCGTGGGCCAAAGGGGGCTACCGTGCACCCCCTCCCCCTATGACCCTACTTCTTGTGTGTCATTTTGTTCATTGGGGTCCATTTTATCGGATAAATCCCTTTCTGGCATAATGGAAAACTACAGTTCATATCAAAAGTGGGCTCGAACATATGCAGATATGACGTTTGATGCTCACCGTGGATATAAACACAGAGAGCAACAACCAACTTAGATAAGGAAAAGTGAGGGATGTGTAAACAAAAAAGGCCATACATGATGAAAAGAGCTTCCTCGATCCGTTGATGTTGATGACAAGAATGGATTGTATGTTTTCTCTTCCAGTGCCCGCGTTCCAGCTGAGGTTGAGAAAGATGTCATGCATGTAGTTACCACAGGGAAAACCAGAAAGAGATGTTCATCAAAGAGCAATTAGAGAAAAAGACATCGTTCTCTGACCCCATCAAGAACCGGAAGCTCAAAACCGTGGCAGAGACCAACGAGAAGTAATAGAGTACAAGCAACAAAGGAACATTGGTTTCCAGCTGACGGTAAAGGCACAAAGTTCTGGCAGCCGACTTGATCTACGGGAAACCATGAATATTCTTTGACCCCCGTTCCTTATTCAATTCAATTCAATTCATTTCATTTATTTTTCCTCTTTGAATTGTTCATATTTACAATGATGGTACATTTTAAAATATTCACATATTCATATACATATACATATAGATCAGTTTGCACAAGACAATACATTAACAAAAATAAACATGAAATTGAAAGGGAAGGAGGGCCGACTAAAAAGCAGAGCTTGTAGGGTGTAAGCCCCCCCCCCCCCCCCTGTAAAAGTTATTATTATGAATTATTATTTCGTGAGAAAACTTCTTTGCTAAGACAGATAAATTTAAGGGCCTACACTAGCTCCTGAAGGATGTAGAGAACTCGCAACCTCCAACTATACTGACAAGACCTTGTTAGTGGAAGATGGTAATGCTATGTTCTACTACCTAAAAGAGATGCCTGCAAACTTCCACAATTGTTGCATCAAAATTCACAATATAGTGTCGTCCAAATGCGATGTCATCTTCAGCAAAGTCATACAAGCCAGAATCTGTGAAGTCACGTTGAGTGAATGATTCAATCCCAATGAAGCCGAGCAAACGACAAACCACCTGAGCGCTCTGGAGATTCCAAGAATCCGCGCATAGAAGCCCCATGCTTGAACCATCATCTATGAGAACGAGACCTCCTCCCGGTGCATTACCATGAAGTAAAGAGATGATCAGTCCTGCTTCCAGATTTTCTATGGTTAAGATTGAAGAATTTTTTATATTCCCAAAGTTAATTCATCTGACCCATAACACCCTTATAACGATGGTGGAGTAGTTTTAATGTGAAACCAACCTCGTACTGGTCCTTCTCCATATAGTTCAATACGTAGCATAGGCGCGGCATGATATCTGATTGGTAGCAGACGTACATACTGGCATACTTTAACCGAGGGCAATGTGTTATACACCACCGTGTTAGCGTCCGTATTGCCCACGAAGACCTTAAAGAAATCCAAAGAACATGCAATACTATTTCAACATATCTCATAACAAACAAATGAATCTGAATTTCTTTTAATCTCTACATAAAACAACAATGTACACAATGGGTCGCTGGGGAAGGGGTATATACGAGGACGTGACATCGATTTATTCTTACTTAATGATAATAATTTGTTTACAACATACATACATACATATAAAGATATATTCATATAGAGGGGAAAAAGAAGGTAGGGCAGAGGCAGTAAGAAAGAGAGAACATTTGAAGTCCTGGGACAGAAATACTAAATAAAAGCATAATATCTTTTTCTTTTCATTACTACTTGTCATTAATTATTGTATAAACCATTGACAAAATTGTTATATTTGGATGCAATTTTTCTTGCTCGTTTGTTTGATGCTTTGTTTTGTTTCTTACTTCTTAGGATACAGGAAATTGACACCTACCTTATCGGCTACGGGCTCGCTGAGGGCGTCTTGTACTATATCGAACGTAATACCGTCTATGCTGCATGCTACCTTAAAGCTTGTAACCCATTGGTTAATGTTTTGACGACCTTGTATTGCAACTCCAGTGATGCGATAAGTAGTAGACAGGTCAACCTTGGAAAGACGAATAATAACATACACCTTTTCCCAATATATTGAAATGAACTTGTAACATTAGGACAAAAGCAAATAATCATTATATAATTTTAATCGGCATTCTGTTTTAATTCCTATTCCTAGAGGTTTTTGTCTGCCAATAAGCCTTTTCGTAAATACTATCTGCGCATGGGCAGATAAAGGTAATTTCTGATAAAATTGTAAAACCCACCGACAGGAATACATGCTCATGTTCTGAATCATTAGGGACTTTTAGATTTGCACGAAGACAATGTGGATTGCTACAGTCGAAGTCCTTTTAATACACTGCCTTGAATGGACGTCACACGTATCAGTCCACGCAAATCTAAAAGTCCCTATTATTCATGTGTGCACCTACGGTACATTCTATGATACAAGAGGGCAAACAAAAGCTTTTCATGAAGCACATACATGACTTGGCATTGATTATTCTAAAATACCCAAAGTGGGACTTCTCCATGAGTAAAACATCTGTGGATATTTGGGGTCATTTGACCCATGTGCTAACTACGAAAAGGCTTATTAATATGTATCGGGAGACGAGAGAGAAAGGCGGACCGATCTTACCTGGATCCATTGTTGAGTGCTAGTAATACCTCCAAACCAGGCTGTACCTGTGTTCAGGCGTGCTCTCTCGGGGCCTAATCCCGGATGTACATAAGATGCTGTCAGGCTTGAATCCGGGATGGCTCCACTTTCCATACCCAGAGGAACCCCGGGAGGAGGAACATTCTGCAACGCTCCTGTTGGTAGAATTTGATATTAATTTTAAATTGTAGTTGTTTCAGAGAATGCGCAGATAGTTAACAAAAATATCACGGCCTCCCGTTATACGCCAGACTTCTTAAAGGTAAAACAAAGTTTTGGAATGGGGTCATGAATTTGGTTCAAATGAACATATTGGAAGCATATGCGATTTTACAATATTTTGTAATCGTTGTCGCAGTTGAAATCGAGTCTAAAGTTGTGAAATTTTAGATAATAAACTCTTTATGTTGTAAAGCTCCCTCTTGAGGCCAAGATAGTAATTAAGCTATAAAACAATGTTTCTTGACTAGAATCGACCGATTAGCTATTCCCGTTTGGAAATTATATATCACAACTACATATTCTGAGATTTTCATGGTCGCAGCTACCATTGTACGGCCGTAGTCGCTATTCAAAATTTACCGGGAGCACCGGTAAATTTTTATATTCAATTTTTCTCGAAAGCAGAAGTGTTTTAGGGACTAAATTGTCTAGTGCGTATGATACATCGACATGGGCATCCAAATATATCAAAATTGTAAAGAATCACTATCCACCCAATTTTCAAAATTCCCAAAACTTTGTATTACCTTTAAAAAACCTCTCAATGTGGCAGAGGACAAAGTATGTATAGTCTTATCCACAACTACATGACGTCGTTGTAACTTGCTTGCAACGCAAACGCTCATGAAATTTGCTTAAAGAGTCCACTTTTCCACAATATCTAAATGAGTTCATTGATTTTCTTGTATGAAAGCTGACCAAACTTGAAGGGAGAATCTCTTTATAAACGTTGACGTACTTAACTCAGATATGACTTGGATGTACATTTATCTGAGTGATATCCCTCTTACCAAAGCTGTAAGTGAGAGCTGGGATTTCCAAACCAAAACCAGGAGGAAAAATAAAAACATACAGCAAAACACTTAATTCATTTAGGATTAGGTCTCGTCGAGGCTGTGACCAATACGTTTGTGCCCGTTAATATGTATGATCCGATTTTCCTTCCCACATTGGCCATTGCCCCCACAAATGTAATTATTTGCGTTGAAGTTGAACGGAATGAGGAATGGCGAGAACGCGCTGGGTTTTTATAGCTCCCGAGCTTGGACGGGATTGCACACGCTCTAGGAGCGCGTTCGAACGCACTAAGAACGAGATGAGGACGAGTTGAACTGTCTCTGAACGGGGTGGTCGGGTTAAAAACTAGTGGTGAACTAGTTATAATGGGTTTGGACGTATTGGGAACGAGGTGGAACTAGTTAATAATGGGTTTAAACTGACTACGGACTGGCTTGGACTGCATGGAAATGGCAGATTTGCCCGGTCTGAACTTGATATGAACTGACTGTGGACGGGGTACAGACGAGATGGACGTATTGAGGACTGTTTATGAACGAACTAGGATCGTATTATAGACATTATTTACACAATTTGCCCCGTCCTCAACCCATTTTACGATTTTCTAGAACGGTTCCAGAACGTAGTGAGAACTAGTTTGGTGTGATGGTGGCTTTACTTACAAGCATGTCCATGATTTTTTTTTCCGCAGTGGGATTAAACAATCATCATCAAACAAACAAATGATGCATATTTTGTGACATGTGTATAAAGGAGGAAGAAAATGACAAGTGGAGTGTAATACACCCCCCAAAAATGAAATGAGGAAGTGCGATGAATGTAGGAAGCTTGCGTGCTGGGTCCATAAACGATGCCAATATCGTGTGCAGGGTTCATAAACGTTGCCAATATCGTTGTTATCATTTCGTTCATTATGTTCCACGAAGTATAATATTACACCTATATTTAGGTCCCTCGTGATTGATAATGCTACATATAGGAACACTCTCCTTGATCTTTTGAACTCGACACTTCCTCAATCGACGCAGAAGTCAACATTAGCAAGTTTAAAGGGGAATATTAGTAGGCATTACCACATGCATACAAGTTGTTACTAATAATATAACCCATGGTGAAAACTGGTTTCACCATTATCTTTGAAAGTGTACGTAGTGTTATTAATTAATAAAAAATGACATTTTATAATGTTATAAATACAAAATATACAATCCACTTGCTTCAATGAAGAACAAGTTTACCGAGCAAGGCTTTCCCCGTCAATTTCGCAATGTTTTTTCAGTCCATTTGATGGAACATTCTTTCAGTTTATCGTATGCACCATTTGAAGGTAGAGACTATCATTCAATTAAGCGTCGGAAATTCATTCCGTCTATAGGCACGTGTGCGAAGATTCACTCAAATTCGTCAGGAATGGCTGAAAGGTGATCCCAGGCATTCAGATTCGCGATTTGGCAGTCAATTCTTAATATGATCATTGGAATTAACATGTATGTTGTTTATGTAGACCCCACCTATTTTTGTTTAATTTCCCGAAAATCAAATGAATTTTAAATAGGCCCATATTCTTTACCATTGTCCTCACTGGAGAAGCTGTCTGGTGCTACAATGAAATATTAGTACCATTACTATATCGTCATCATCATTATCAGTATTACTACTACTATTATTATTATTATATATCATTATATATTATTACATACAAATAACTATCACTATTATTATTATTATTATTGTCATCGTCATCATTATGGTCAGAATAAAAGGCGATCGCACCCTACATCCTTCACTTGATCGATTGCCTTTTTCCTTCTCCATCGTCCGTTATCTTTCTAGTCAGATTCCCCCCCCCCCCTCGCTTCAATATACAATCCCACGTTACGCCACTGTCATTTCTCCCCAGCATTCGCATTTATAAGGAACCATTTGCGTTGTTATTCAAGATCCCAGTTGTATGCTTATTAATATCCCTTTCGTCAGACATAACAGTGGAATTGATAATTATATAAACAATACAAGGAAGAGTTCTTAAACGAAAAACTAAAGTTTAATTGGACTGTAAACAAGTTAAAGGAGAAGCAGATATCTTGATGGAAGTAACCAGGATTACTTTTGCTTATCTTGGCGCTCAGATTCATTTCTACCCGTTGTTTTTATAACGGCATAAACGTTTGCAAATTTGATATTATATATCATATACATTTGGAACCTAATTGGAAGGAATTATCAGCATTTGATGTCTAATTAATAGAGCAATTCCCATTGTGCTAATACACTAGTTCTCTTCTTTAAAACCACTTTGAAAAACACCGTTTTTCATTGTTCTTTCATCTTTACTCAGAAAAAGTGTCAGCTATGTATCATCGTATCCGGACACCTACCCCCTACACATCCACCCCCGGATAACCACCCCCAGTCAACTACCCCCTAGGGCAGCCACCCTCTAGGACGACTACCCTCCAAGAAAACTACCTCCGGACAACTACCCCCAAGACAATTACCCCCTAGGACAACTACTCCCTAGGATAACTACCCCCGGACAACTACCCCCGGACAACGACCCCCAGACAACAACCCCCTAGTATAGTTGTGCGAGGGTAGTTGTACTAGAGGATGGTTGTCGTAGGGGGTAGTTGTCCTAGAGGATGGTTGTCGTAGGGGGTAGTTGTCCTAGAGGATTGTTGTCGTAGGGGTAGTTATATGGGGTGGTTGTCCGGTAGTAGTTGACCGGGGTCAGTTGTCTGGGGGTGTCCTAGAACCGTGTATCATATGACCAATAATACAACCATGATCAAAGCTGTAACAAAAACTGGGTTAACAGTCATTTTTTATAATATTATTACAAGACATTTTCTTCCAAACCTGCTTTTCAAAGTTGAGTTTTACACTTTCGAATTATCTCTTTTTCATCTGTCTCCCTTGTCACACCCCCCCCCCCCAACTTCTCTCTCTCTCTCTCTCTCTCTCTCTTCACTCACTGTCTCACACACACACACACACTCTCTCTCTCTCTCTCTCTTTATCTCTTGCTTACTCTATCTCTATCTTTTCCATCCTCCTCCTCAATTTATCAATCTCTTTTCCTCTCTCCATCTTGTTCTGAACATCAAACTCGATTCTTTTATTTCAGTTCTAGAGGGCTCTACTATTTCTATTGTCAAATCTGACTGACATGAGCGCTATACAAGAACCCACTATTATTATCATACAACTTGATCCAAATCTGTATTTTCTCTGCGACCCCAAACACTACATTGGTGTCAGTTATGAAATTCCTTATATCACGAGTATGTTTGTATCATAGCGCCTGTACAGAAATACACAAAGGCACTCTTTAAAAACACTATTTTTTTTTTGTAAGTTCAATCCCAAGTGAGTTCCATGCAGCTTTTTCTAAATAGACCTGGGGGCTCATCCGAAATGTCATTGCTATTCATTACTTTCAATAAATTGTTTAAAAAGGGCAATTTTCCTGGTGATCTTGCGAACGACAATCCAGCTTCCTTGGATATTTCAAGGACAAAATGCTATAAAATCATAAACAAAGAAACGTGTGTGACGACGTGACAAGATCCCCATTATTGAAATAGTTGGGGTGTTTGAAGAATAAAATCCAGGATTTCATAAGATCACAATTTCTCAAATCTACGGTGTGGACCCATAACTACTATTCAGGGAGCATGCTTAAAATCTCGAATAAGTGGTTTACCGTTTAAGTCTAAACTGAGGTCGATATTTTAGTAATCTTTGTGTGTGCTACAGAGTAAAAACTCCGTTGAATCAATGCACAGAAATGATATCATTGGTAGGTCCACCGTTGAAGTATCTTTTGTAACTATAGTCGAGTCTCACAGCGGGGTAACAACCACTCAAAGAAAAGAGGCCACTGTGTAGATCAGTATAAATTATAGAAAATATTTTTTAAATATAAACAAATTACACATCAGAAAATAAGTTCCGAGGTATAACTGATCATTAGTTGACAACTTTCCTTTTCACATTCTCATAGTTCCTTGGCACGCAAATAATGTCTATAAATATTATGTAGGCTTCAAACTTGCATTTGAAGAATATCATGCAATGAAAAACAGTGTTACTTTGAAATGAGCAAGCAATCACGAGCTGCTTCTGAACCCGCAGTTATCGATTTACTTACCCCTTTGGCATAGACAAAGCGACAGAAATAAAATACGGCCTACATAGAAATGTTCGACTTGAATCATCATTTGTTCTGCCTTTCAATTCGAACAACAATCAATGATGAAATAAAGCGACAGTAAAGATGACAGTAAGAATGACAATCCAACAAAGTTCGCATCAGTGGACGACAAAAGTAGAACGAGATGCATTCGATTAGCCAGATTGTTGGGAAGTGGAAGTGAAAAAACATAGTCCTGACATGCGTATTCATCGTCGCTAATAATGAGGAAGAGTGTTATTCATGGGGAAATCCCTCCAGCTATATTGGCCTTCAATTTCCAAACAATGCTGGGCTATTCTCGGTCGGTTCACTCTAGGGGCGTCGATAGACCATTTGACTTAGTTGGGGCGGACCAAAGGTTCAGATTTAAGCGGCCCAGCCATTAACCCCCCCCCCCTAGTTTGCATAGCTATGTTATGGGATGTCTTGATGTGACAACAATTGCAACCCAAAAGGAGAGCGCTGGGAGAAAATTAGGAAAAAGGAAAAAGAACGTGACTCAATAATGAAATAGATTGCTCGAAAATGCTCTTCAAATTGCTACATGTATTAGGTGAATCAGTAATGTGGGAACAACATTTTTAAGTCTTAAATAAAATCTGTTATAAGAGGTGTATAACACGATTATCGAAAATGCTAAAGGGTGATGTGATTAGGTCTGCGTCATTGATGCAGTGTGCAGCAAAAAAGAAAAGAAATATGGTAAACAGAGGCAGTGACCGTTTCATTTTACAACCGGGTGCCACAGAGAGAAAAGTTTAGTTAAATTAAAGATATATTATGGAATAACGTTAACATAATGAAAATAAAGTATCAGAGACCGCAAATTGCCCGGATATTTTTTCATTTGGGGGTATTTTGACGAGGAAATAACATTTCAGAGATAATAAAGTGCCTTTTTCCGCCCTCGCAAAATTTAGAAACGGGATAGTTTCAGGCTGCGAGGTCCATGAATATCCCCCCCCCCAAAAAAAAAAAAAAAAAAAATCATGATGATATTACAATGTTCGGGCACCTTCCTGCTCGAAGGTCGTCATGGCTCGGGCAGCATATAACCCTATTTATTGTATCAAAATCAGAATAAATTTGGCCCAGTCTTGGTAAAGTAACAAGCACTGTGCACAAAATATGTATATGTGACTATACACAAATGGTGTCGGGGCTACTAACCTTGATTTCCTAATCTTTCTATGCTCATTACTCAGCCAGTATACATTTTCTAACAAAATTGTTTGGCAAATGACATTAATTTGTAATCTTGAACATTCAGTGTAAGTTCGTTTGATTCTGTGAGAATTCAATTTTTTTTTTAACAGAACTCATCTTTATCTTTAATGTGTTGGTAACATTATAACAATTGTTTACTTGTGAGCTTAACAATAATGATGATTTTTTTTTCAGTTGTGGTTGTTACATTAAAAAAAAAATGTTGTAAGAATTGACAGTGGGTATTGGACAATATTTGGTGCAGCAGAGAGGGAGTGAGTTATTAAAATATAGAGTTAAAATTTAGATTAAAAAGAACAAAGAACTGAGCCCAAGTTTGATGATTAAATTTTGATTCAAAATGAATAAAGAAAAACGAGAAATATGCACCCGTATACACGACGTATAAATATATTTTATATAATTCAAAATAATCTAGATAATTTACTGCTGAATGTGCCTGCACTGAGTTTAACTCTAACCAGAACCCCTTCAAAATCTGTATCTGCCGCTCTTCCACAAGCTCTTCTGAGGGTTCATTTATTTTCCGAATATTCGTACATCGATAAATGGTAGACCCTATACATTTCATCAATGTACTATACATTATCATTTATCTTATTTGTCATCATTATTATCATTATTGTGATTATTATCATTGTTATCATTGTTGTTATTATTATTATCAATATAGTTATTAATATCATTATGATTGTTAGTATTATTATCATCATCATTATTATCACCATCGTCATAAGAATCAACATCTTCATCATTCTCCTTTTTTAAATTGTATTCGGCCGGATCTTTTTTATGGATGTTATACAGCACATAAATTGTTTTGTCAACACACTTTCACATTCTTTCTTTGTCATCACACTGTTGTATTACGTTTTCGGTGGTATACACCAACACAATGAAAGGAAGTGGGTACACAGTTCAAAAAAACATTTCCCTTGAATAATGGCAAAATTTCAGTTGCAGCCAACGTGATCGACAATATCGGCATCATAAGCCTTTTGAAAAGATTTCCGAGGTTACATGGACCGACAACCCATGAGACTGACATACAGTGGCGTACGCAGGATTTTTTCAAGGGGGGGGGGGGGGGTTTCAACATTTTGAAATCGGGCCGAAAAATTCGCAACGACTCAGCCAGCCGCTGCATAAGCGGGGGAGGGGGGGGGGGGGGGTAAGATGACACTTTTTTTTTTTTTTTTTTTTGGTCCCCAAAAAATCGCAATGACTCAGCCAGCCGCTGAATAAGCGGGGGGGGGGGGGTAAGAGGACACTTTGATAATTTGACATTTTCTACGTTGGGGGGTAAGGTCATCTTTTTTAGGTCAGCCATGGGCATAATTTTTTTTTGTATAATTAAAAAAAACAAAAAACAAAGGGGGGGTTTAGGGGGGTTTCTTAAAAATACACACATAAAAATACCAAAGGAGGGGGTTTAACCCCCTAAACCCCCCTGCGTACGCGCCTGCTGACATATCAGTCTCCATTGCCTTCTGACAAATTTTCCGAGGCCGGAACTTTGTGGGTTCACAAGCTATTGGTGAACCCGGATATCCCTAAAATTTCATTTTCCCTTTTTGAGTTTATCGTTATTACTGATCCAAATATAAATTGTGTGAGAATAGGACGACGTGGCCAAGAGTCCAAGGAAGAAAGGAAAACATCGGGTTTGTCAAAGCACTCTTGGCATCGAAACCCCTGTGCAGGAAATAGATAAAAGTATTTGGTACTTCCACAGGGAAGCAATACAATTTTAACCATGCTTAGTTCTACTTACTAGAAGAAAAGTGCAGACATTGACACTTGACAATAACCTTCATGAAATTATGATATAGTGTTGTCGTTGCTTATGTACATAATTATGAGGGTCAGATATTAATAGACAGTTATGTATACTTTTTGTTTACCATCTTTACCCTCTCCTAGCGCTATAGTTCTCCTTAGAACTATATGCTAAGAAAGATAACAACAGTCCTTTTCAGGACTACACACCCCCAAGAAAGATTACCGAGTCAGAGTCCTTTTCAGGACTCCTCAACTCTCTCTCTCTCACATGGTGCACCCGCAAACCTACTGTATAGGCTATATAATATTTATAAAAAACATAATATGACTATTCCGTTGCAGCGCAATGCGCTAATATGCATTGTTGTAAATACTTACTTTCTTGCACTTGCAATTTTATATTCCCTACTTGAAGAAATAAAATTAAAACTTGTCACAGTGAATAAGTAAGCTATCAAGGATTTCATTTCAACTGTTTAAATCATTATATGTATAAATATATATATAACCCTTAATATTACATTAAACTGGAATCATAAAAACGGGTATATTACCATAACCCTAACCCTAACCCTGAATTCAAAACAAGATAACTAATTAAACTAATGATTAATGATAGAACCTTTTGTTTCTTGGGAGGTTTTTTATTTTCCTCTGCCTACAAACGTATTAGTAGAATGCGCAGTTCTTTGTACAATCGTTAACGGGACTCGAAACTGTCCTGCTAATGACCATGTCTACTTAATGTCTCATTTTTAACTACAGATGTTCTAGGCATGACGCTGTATGGTATATATGTGTATGTATTCAAAGTGCTTTAGAGTTAACATAATTATCATGCATAAAAATACCAGTGCCTTTTTTTTATCAATGTCTAAACCACTAATTTATCAGGATGTCCTATTTGAGTTCCTCATTCGTCATTTGAAAAGGGGACAATAATTTGTCACTGGTTTAGTGTTCAGACTTCCGTGAATCTTTGAAGGAAATAAACGAAATTCACATGAATAAACCGGTTCACTACAACTTTCAAACACAATATGCTAACATTTCAAGTGTGTATAATACAGCGTGACTCAACAAAAATAAGGAAACCATCCTCCTCCTTCATCCTGCAATATGTCAAGAACCGGTTAAAAGGAAAGAATGAAATTAGGAAACTAAATTAGAGCGATATATTGTTATATATCAATTACCTTGCAAAATGATCTCACTAAAATCTCTAATTGGCACTTATCTAACCGTATGTCTCTAAATGTCTCCAAAACGAAAGTGATGAGAATATCTGCAGCGCGCACAAGGTTGACCCGCCTGCTTACTTCTTGATATCAGCCAATTGAAATTGTCCAGAAAACGAAATATCTTGGAATAATCATAACCATTAACCTGAAGTGGATTCACATGTTGGATTATGGTTGTCTCACGTGCAAATCGTATGTTACTCATCACTCCGTTTCTGGGGGTCTCTCATCACCGCCCTACTTTGCCTGTATAAAATCACTTGTTCTTCCGCTTTTGAATTTGGTATACCAGCCTGGTTCCCTGTCAATCGTAATCTATGTGACAGATTAGAAAGCATCCAACGTAGAGCAACTCGTC